GACCTAAAAACTGGAAAAAAGCACATATGTTAACTTAAAAATGTGATATCGGGATTTCGACCTTTAGAATCTTAAAGTATGCAATTTTAGACGATTTTTTGTCCAAACCAGACCTCGATATCTTTCTTCGTTCGAGAGATATCGAGGTTCACAGGTTTTGACTTCCACCCCCCCTAGCTCCCCCCCCCAATTTTTTGGGGGTCTGAAAATTTGGGAAAAGAAGCGCTCAAGTATGAGTAATCAATAGACAAAGTCTGAAGAACTTCCAGAGGGGGGCGAAAAAAGCCGTTTTTGCATCAAGCTCTTTAAATCAAGCACAAGCAATATGAAATTTTATTCCTCCGTCAGACTTAATGCTAAAGCTAAAGTTTAACGACTAATTTTACACTCAAAATAAATTTCCTTGACTTAGGACTTTTGACAGGAAAATACATTAGTACATTTCTGACTACTCAAGGCTATCCTGCAATAAAATATGTATTGCTTCTGACCTGCTTAATTTGGCCCAGTTAAAATAATTGAAGGCTTGGAGGACAAAGCGCATAAGTGCAGTGTTTACTTTTTCGAGAAAAACGTGTTTGAAGTTTCTAAATTACATTATGGATCCTTCCGGAAAGAAAGTTCAAACTGACTTTTCGATGCTTAAAATTTGGAATTTGGGAAAGAATTTTTCATATAATATGCATTAAAACTAGTTTTACTTGAAATCATTAATATCTCAATTTTTTCCAAAACCTCACGTATGCGCCTCATCCTCCAAGCCCCTCAATTAAAGTTGAAACTATTAAATAATCTCCAAGAGTGGAGGGGGGCAGGGGCAATTAAACGACGAAAAATAAAATTTTGCCTCACAGCAATGAGAATTTTAGGAAAATTGATATAATTAGGTATTGCGTGTTTCGGATAAAAGTATTGAAAGTGTGCTCTCCATCCGCATCTGCACAGGAACACATGTTCTCACTCGATTTGCGTTATACCCGGGAGCAAAAACTTATGACAACTGAGGATCTGCGCAAATGAGAACAAGGGTTCTTGAATATCATACGACCTTCTTTGACAATGTTACCGAAGTCAATCGTGTCTCATGTGGACCATAAGTATACACCTGCATTTTCGCGGGGACGAATTTCGCATGCCGCAAAATCCACTGAAAAGAATCCACTGAAAACACGCGAGCTATTCGAATCTAATTAAGTGCGACGCGCGTGTTAGCTTGCTCCCTCGATCGAATTCTCCAATGTCAATGTCATCATCTGCCGTCCTAAGGAAAGACGCCGATCTGCATTCGTGAGTTTCCAAATTTCCTTCGATGAAATGTTTATTTCTGTGGAAAGTTATACATATTTTCTCTTGAAATTTGGAGATGTTTCAGACGAAAATGTGAGCAATATTGCCTGCAAAATTTGAGAAAAAATATTCCAGATTTTTCCAGTAAATTTGTTTATCATGGAAGGAAATATGGCAACATCTGAAGGCGCATACGGCGTTCCTCCTTAACACGGCAGCATTGCCACTGAACCAGCCATCTTGATCAATTGTTTCTACATTGTCTCTTCGAGAGAGGATGAAGAGTGATACCACAAGCAGACACGAACCTCATGCGATGAGGTTCTTTTAGGAGCGATGTTACGACCCTCAAGAAGAAAATGTGCTATTTATTGGTGACACTCTTGGGGCTTGGGGCTGTCCCTTAATCGCTCCGGGTTTTGGATAGCTGAAATTTCACAATTTTGTAAGCGTGGACTCAGGTAAGCAAATGAGTGCTATGCTAAACCTCCATGAATAATTCATAATTGAAAGGCTTGGAGGACAAGGCACACGTGTGCAGTTTGCGAAAAAATCGAGATATTAGTGATTGTAAGTGAAACTATAGTCTTAATGCATAATCTTTGAAAAATTCGCCCCCAAATTCGAATTTTTAAGCATCATGAAGTCAGTTTGAACTATCTTTCTGCCATAAGGACCCACGTAATTAATTATTTTCAATTAGAGTCAAACATTTATTTTGAACTCTAATACAGTATTTTGGTGTATTTGTATCATAAAAATCGCATTCTTGAATAGCTCTTTTTTTTCGGTCTGGAGGGATCCGGTTCGTAGCATCGCAGTATATCGAAAGGCTGCCTTTGGATGCGTATTTGTTCATGAACCCTGAGTCGTTTCAAAACTGAGGGATAAATTTTACAAAGCTATACCTTTTCATGAGAAATTTTCTCGCACTTTTCGTATGATTGCATTTATTGAAGTTGTCGAATGCTGTTTTTTCAGGTTGTGCACCAAAATTTAACATCACATGGGCACCCTCGCGATCATTGTTGGTATAATTTGCCTATATTCTCAAGCTTTCGGAGTCTCTGCACAAAATACAGGTTTTTTAACTGCTCTAATTTAAAATGTTATCATTGTTTTTGTATCTTTCAGACACTACATGTCTAGGCACTCACTCATTTCAGTCTCTGGAAAGTTCTCTTCCCTCTTAATTTTGTTAAGAAAGAATAGAGATCTTGTATTTTCTGAGCCTTTTCCCTTGTTAGTTAATTTATTTCTATAAGTATTCTCTGTTAGAAGTGAAATAAGCTTTTTCAGTCGCACAAAAGAATAGAGACTTTGGTGTAATATCCCAAGATGATCAACATTTTTAAGCTTGATTTTTCTTTGGTACAAACATGACACTTTTTGAAATAAATAATCTTTTGTTTTTCACTTAGACTGAGTTAAAAAATTTGAGAGGGGAGTGAAAATCACAGAAACATCAGTAAAAATCTTAGCTCGTCTGAAAGAAAAATATTGAGCTGTGATGGCTTAAGTCGCACGGTGCGTATCTTATTGCACTCTTTAAAAATTTCCGATCATGCTTTATTTCTATATGAAAAAGCTAACAAAAGTATCTCATTTGAATTTTTTGTTAATATACTAGCATTAATGGAGTCAAGTTAATTTCAAGAGACATTATTGGTTGTTTTCCTTTTAGAGGATAAGATATGAGCGGAGATGTTGCGATCAAAGATGTGCTCGAAGTTTTCAGAGAATGTTCCTTAAATGCCATAAAACGAATCCTACATAATAACAATGATCAGTTGTCCTAAGACGTAGGTAATGGGAAATTTTGAAAACCCAGATACGTGGTTCGGTTGTTCCTCCATCGATATATGAAAAATTACATACTGATTCCCTTTTTCAGACTCCGCTAATGGCAACAACACTAGATGCTACGATCAGCTGGGGTGCCTGGATTTAGGTCCACCGTGGCATACACCTAAACGACTGGTGCCGGTGCCTGGCTCTTTAGAGGACGTTGGAACTGACTTTCAGCTTTTTAGCAGGTCCGCCATTAGTAAGGCTTAAAAATACTATATCGACGGTGTAAGTCGGCAATCATATAACTCGGTTTACGACGTCGCAGCCTTCTTGTCATACTTTATTTTTTAAATGGAAAACTACTCAACGGCAATTCTTTAAAACTGTCATGATTTCTTCTCAATTCGAAGAAAATTCAGCTAAAACTTCAAGAAATAATGTCAATTTGTTCTCTTTTAAAAAAATGACGTACAGGCGGAGATTTTCAGACACCGCAAACGAGTTATGTGATTGCCGACTTTCACCGTCGATATTGTCTTTACTCCTATGTAAAATCGTTAAAAAAACACCTATAGACAGGAAAAGTCTTGGTAAACTTTTGGGAATCCAGACAAATGTTTACAGAAAAGGACGTTTTGAAGAAACGAGAGAATTTGAATTGAAAACTTGAGAAAGAGATGAGAATTTACATCAAAGTACATTCATAACTTCATGAAAACTTGAGAAAGAAATGAGAATATACATCAAAGTAAACCCATAACTTCGTATTCTATTGAAATTAATTCTGAACAAAATAAAAATTTAAATTTCAAGATTTAACATTTTGAAGAGAGCACGAGTAGAATAATGTAGGTTCAAAAAAAGTGTGCACACGAAATAAACGCACAGCAGGCGTGCCTTGGTGCTTCGATGACAACGCATAGATAAAAATATTCGCGGTCCACGGACGCCCGTTTTGCATACGTAAAACATTGAAGGGGTTCTGACACTTCTTCCGCTTAAAGTGGCAACTAGCAACGAGAGATTAGTAGCATTATGTTGATTACAACGCGTGAATGCAACTATTCGTGTTCTGCAAATGCACGTGCGTGTTGCATACCCCAAAATTGAAGGCACACGAGCTTCTTTCATTCCTAGCAGGTAGCCCGGTAGCTGCAACAAATCTGCTACATGGCGTTGTTGGCAATACCTGAGCTACGATTCAACAATATATGGAAAACCGCGTTGAATCTGAAGATGGATATGTTTCAGTACCAAATTTGTTCACCGATCCTAAGATAAAATTTCTACCGAAATGCTCTTAAACTTGGCCGCTAAAATAATATCTAAATCTAGGAGATAATATGCTACAGTTTTAACTTGCAGCACCTAAGAAGTGAGTTATTATGCTTCTCATTTAAGGTTTAATTCTTGAACTTATTTTTTTAGACACTTCAATGGGTCAGTCATAGTCAACCAATGGCCCAATGTTTCAATCGAGAGAAATGTAACCTTCAATCTGCCTATTGTAGTTATCATCCACGGATTTTACGCCTCTGCAAAAGGAGACTGGCTTCATGAATTAAAGGACGCCTATTTGGAAAAGGTAAATCTTGGAATTTTAATGCACAACAGTAAATGATCTCTTTGGGAGGATGACTTAGACATTTCTATCAGTAAATTGCATCCACAGAGATAAATTCTTTAGGGTATAATAACTAATAATACGACATTTCAAACGGGATTTTCAAATTTTATTTACGATTATTAGCAAGCCTCCATTGAAAATCATTGTGTGTAACGAAAATGTTTATAGAAAAGTTTAAATGTTTGACGAATGGACGAATTTATGCTAAAAGGAACTATGTGCATGGGTTTTGCTTGCGACATGGTTCCTTTTAGCATACATTCGTCAAAATTTGTGAGTTGGCTCATCTAAGTAATACATAGTGGTTGTCAATATTCCTAACTTTTTCTTAAATGTTAAGTCTACACCTTGGAGTGCAAAATACCTTCGTATCGTAAAGTTTTTGGCTCGGATAACAGAGGATTTTGGTCATTAAAATGTTTTCCTGTTCAAGTAACCCTTATTCATTGTAAAAAATGAAAGTTTGCATACGGCTAAATACGACGTTGGCAACTTGAACCGATATCCGGTTTCTATGACTGAAAATAACTACCGGTGCGTGTCTCTATGTGCCGCATGAATTGAAGTTTTTCCTCTGCGCATTATAAAAAACATTGTCAACTTCCGATAAAACGTATTGTTTGTCAGTGAATGCCTTAAAATGAATACCTGATTTTTCATACCTACTTTTCTGTCCCTCTCTTGTTATTTGCAGAGGGACGTCAATGTGCTAATCGTAGATTGGAGCGAAGGAGCTGCCCCTCCGAAATATTTACTTGCAGTCTCCAACACGAGAGTTGTTGCACGTGAGATTAGCAGGTAATCTTATACGATATTGAGGTTTTCATCATTAACATCAAAGTATGTAATAGAGGGCCTATAGGATTTTTACCATATTATTTTCTGATCTAAAATAGGGATGAGTTTTAATGACAGTTAGTAATAAAGGAAACGCTATGATTAATAAACAAATCTCATCCTATAGGGAATGAACCATAGCATCATTGTAGCATTATATAAAATTTTGTGTCGCATTATAAAGTTGCCAATCCAGATGCTTTATGCCAGATGCTTTTTTTTTAGATCATGTAGAAAAAATGGTGAAAAATCATTCATTCAATATTCTGATCACGCACATAAGTGAAACATAGATCGAATCAAGTCTATAATCTTAATCTGCATACTTCGGAAAAGTTGGCATTGACGCATCTAGAAAATCACAGTAAAATTATGATACCTATCTTTGATGATGTTTCTGTGAGAGTGCAGAGGGATGCCTACTG